GAGGTGGCAGAACAGGTAGTTGAAGAGGGCTTTTAATTCCAGACGATAAACTTAAAATCTTTAAACCCAAGTCAGAACCTGTGAAATATTCTAGAGAGGATAGGAATCTAATTAATGATTCAGGAGAAAGAGCAACAAAGGCAAATTGACTTCTTGGAACTCCCAAGAAAAGGGGGGGATATGTTTGTATGCTGGTACTAACTGATAACTAACTTTCTCACAGAAGCCAGAGGCATTCCCTTGTAGAACTAATAAGGCACGTGGAGTAATTTAAGTATTGCTGGGTTATTCCAAGATGCTGAGGAACTACTTGGTCTGTGAAGGAAAGTACATTGTCGAAAGTGAAACTCATAAAGAAAAGATAAATTGGTTACTAATTTGTTTTATTTCAGGGTGATATCTCTTGGCAAGTTGATTTTGTGTACTGTTACATTTTGTATTTTGGTTATAATACTGCTATGTTTTGTGTTATATTTATTTGTTATTGTTAAATGTGTGATTGAAAGAAACACTGCCAAGCACGTATTAGTTCACTGTACGCTCGTCACAATTTAATATCCTGAAACTGTGATCCTAGATAGGCTCCTCTAGTGTATGTGACATATTCCCCTGGAAATACCAGCTTATTTATAAAAATACGGCCTTTTTTCCCAAAATACCAGCTTTCTCACTGATAGATGTCAGTTTCCAACAATGGTGAAACATTGGCACAGCTCTGCTGGATGCAATGGTGACACAGCTCTGCTGGGATTAGTGGTTACACATGGGCACAGGTCTGCTGGGTTTAATGGTGACACGTTGGCACAGCTCTGCTGATTTTAATGGAGAAACAATGGTACAGCTGTACTGGTTTTAATGTTGACACACTGGCATAATTCTGCTGGGTTTAAGGGGTGGCACACATTGCACAGCTCTGATGGGTTTTATGGTGGCACATAGAACACCTCTGCTGGGTTTGTTAGTGACAATTAGGCACAACTCTGCTGGGTTTATTAGTGTCACATTGGCACTGCTCTGCTGGGTTTAATGGTGGCACATTGCACAGCTGTCATGGTTTTGTGATTTTTTTTGTTTTCAGTATTCCACATCATAACATCATGTGGGGCACTGGGACTTTAACTGTTAATGCTCAAGTCCTGGGTACCTGCCCAGAAGAGAAGAAGAACTACATTCCCCAGGGGACCTTGCGGTCAGGGAGAGGAGGTTTAACTCCTGGCAAGGTCACCTGATGCTCTTTCTCGCCTGCCCTTCGTCGTGGGCGCTGCTCCTCTTTCCCTGCTGCTCAACTGGACTGCGCATCTCACCTCAGCGTTGTGCTGAGGCCTATCCAACTTTCGGACATTCTCTCTCTCATTAAATTTGATTTATTAGCTTCAATCCTGATTATATTGTATTATAGTGTGTTCTCTTGCATTCCGATAATATACTTAGTAAATTAGTTTGTTTCTCCTCAGATCGGTGCTGCTGTTTTTAATTATGTTGGGGTCCCCTGTTTCCTTTTTTTTCCGGAGGCGTGGATCTGCGGATCCCTCCGCCCCGCTCGTCACGGAACCGGGCCGAACCAGCTCTTAAACCGTTGACATTCTTGGTGGAGAATGGGGGCAAAGGCTGCTTTTTAGCTTTTTAGAACGAATCTCTCTCTGCTCTTGGAGAGCTTTGTTGGGAAAGTTTACCTTTTTCATCGGTGCTCACTGAAAACTTGACCTTGAAAGTCTAGGCGGACTGCCAGTGTTCTGGGATATTTGTAAACTTTGAGCACTGCTATCTTGCTCCCTTAAAGAGAGAAAAAAAATGATTCCACTTTCTCTTTTAAACCTGTTTGCAGAGGGAGCTGCTAATTTCACAGAACTTGGGATTTTTAAACAGGCTCCCAGTCTCTCCTTTGAATCCTTTATGCGGTTTTTGAATGCTCACCTGATCGCATTGTTAATCTCCCTGAATTTACTGTTCATTATTTCAGTCAGTTTTTGTATTTATTGTATTTTGAGGAAGCCTTCCCCAAAACCAGAGAACACTGAATGGCAGGGAGTGTGGAGAGGCTTGGGAGAGATTTTAGAGAGATGGACATCTTCGGTGTCATGAAACTTTACTTCTGAACACCTGAAAGACCCTGAAAGCTTAAGCAGTTTTAATGGTATATGGAAATGCAGAAATGCAATTTTAATGGTATGTGGAAATTATGTGGAAATGCAGTTTTTAATGGTATGGGGAAATGCAGTTGCTAACGGTATGTGGAAATGCAATTGTTAATGGTGTGTGGAAATTGTGTGGAAATGCAGTTTTAATGGTATGTGGAAATGCAGAAATGCAATTTTAATGGTATGTGGAAATTATGTGGAAATGCAGTTTTTAATGGTATGTGGAATTGCAGTTGTTAATAGTATGTGGAATTGCAGTTGAGGGTACAAATAGTGGAATTGTGGAAAAACAAACAAACAAAAATAATGGCAAAAAGGTTAAGGAAAGCAGTGAGTTTGGGATATTAGAGTTGGGCCGGCATGAGAACACATCCCCGCACACCCCCCCACTGCGGCTTGTAAGAACAACTTGGAGTGGGAGAAAGAGCTGGGGGCTGGAGCCTCCCGCTGTGATGTGAAGGGTGCAGTGCTTGTGAATGGGGATGGGACGGAGAATAGCCGTCATCTGCAGAGCTGGGGAAACCCGATATCCAGTGTGAGCACTGGAAGCCTGGGGAGAGAAGGGGGTGAAATTGAAATATAATGTTCGTAATGTCTGTGATGATGAGAGCTTGGATAATGAAAAGGGTTTGGGAAAAACAAACTGAGGAAGGCAAAGTTGAGCAAGGTTAACAGGGATGTCCTTACCTAGAAGAAGAGGTAAGGGGAGCCTGGAAGGACTCAGGAAGAGTTCCACCCCGCCAGGACCGAAAGCAGCAGGGGAAGCAGGGTAAAGAGGTTTATTTTCTGGTATCTCTGGGTGCCTCTTACTCTGTGCTACATCAAGAACTATTACCCGTAGATGATTTTTGTAATAGTTGTAGCAGCTACTGGCAAGAGAAGTTTACTTTTTTTGGACCAATTAAATACAGGCTAGGAGAACAAGTAGGAATATATAAGTTCTTGTACATGCCAGGTTCTCCAAAACCATTATTTGGGCATGACATGTTAGAATAGTTGAACGTAGAGATTAAATTCAGTAGAGACAATTGGAGCTACTTGTCAAGCAAGACTAATGGACTGCAAATTTTAAGTCTGGCTTTAACACAAACTGGGAAAAGCAATGTTGTACTCCCAGAAGTTACGTAAATCCTACATTGGGTATACACAGGATTGCAGGCATCAGGGATACCTGGCAGAGCCAAAAATGCAGCCCAATGAAAGTTAAGTTAAAGATGGGAGCCAGCCCAACCAGGGTAAAGCAATGCCCTTTGAGGATACAAGATTGTAGGAGGATAAAAGAAATAAAAATAACTTTTTGGATTTTGGATTACTAATTGGATAGAAATCCAAATACAACACCCAATCTTGCAAACGAAAAATTGGATGGCTGCCTGGCTCCATCCTCTCTGCACCTCCCTGCAGGGACTGATGGCCATGACCGGGATCCCCCCAAGCCTCCTTGTGTGAAGGCTGAGCCACCCCAGCTCTCCCAGAATCCCACCCCAACCATTTCGCATGCAGTACTGAGGAGGGGAGGGGATTCGGGAGGAGGAATGGGGCTGCTAGTTGCAGTCCTATGACAGCCATTTGTGCTGTCCTGTCCTTACATTGAGGTGGATGTAGTCAACTGAATGGGCTGTGGCAGTCGCCAGGGTCCACAGGGGCCCCTTGGCCCTTGGGAAACCATGGCAACAAATGTCTTGAAGATAAGAGAGAAGAACAGGTTAGACCAAATAAGGAGGAAACAAGACATGCCACATGTCCATTGGTCAGAAATAACTGTAGTAGCCCTAAGGCATGGGAAAAGCTTTAAGAAGGGTGTGCTCCTTGCAATTAACGCCATTTTGCCGCTCACCATATTGGCGTCATGAAAAGCGTGCGAAACTGACCGGGGCTGTCGGAACACTTTCACAAGGGGACTTCAGTCAGGGTCGCCGAAACAAAGTCGACAGGTGGACACGGGGATGGGGGCTTATTGGAGCTGCAGAAATGACCGCAGGCAGAAGTGCTGAAAAACGAACGCTAAGCATTTAATCATTTAACATACAGAGCAATAAACAGAGAAATGACCGTATTCCCAACCAGTTCCCACACTAACAATCGTTCCCCCCTCACGGCTTCCCTCCTCGGGGCCAACACGAATCGGCTCCACGTCGGCTTCACGCAGCTCCGGGAGCTCCGCAAGGGGACAGACAGAGATGGAAAACGGCACTTAGGAACTGCGGCTGCGGGGCAGCAGCTCAGCACAGCGCTGCTGATTCGAGCCGAGCGAGAACCGAAAGCTCTTGCTGACTCCGTGCCAGGCTGCAACGCGTCTCGATCCGTGCGATCGCTCCCTCTCTTTCGGGGCTGCCCGGCTCATCCGGGAGCCGCTCCCGGACAGCGGGCGGGTCCCGCGGCTCGCGGTCAGCAGCCGCTTCTCGCAGCCCCCGCGCCGCCTTCCCCTGACCGCCCGGCACCCCCAAACCACGGGGCGGGCGGCGGCAGGGCGGCGAAGCACCACCCTCCCCACACGGAGCCCCGCGGCTCCGCGGCCGCCATTGGCAGAGTGTTCGCGCTCGGCCCCGCCTTCGCCGCGCTACCATTGGTCGGTCCGCCGGATGGGGCGGGCACTCCGTGGGAGGTCCTTTCCGTCCGCGGTCGCGCAGTCATTGCGTCATCACCGCGCGCGTCCCCGCCCCGGCTGCCTGCAGCGCCGCCCCGCTCCGCGCGCCGTTCCGCTTCCGGGGCCCCGGCGCGCCCAGCCCCAGCTGGGGCTGCGGGAGGAGGAAGAGGAGGGTGGGGACATGGGGGACAGCCCACGCCGTCCCGCTCCGTGAGGACCTTCCTGGAGAAAGGCGAGCACGGGCTGGTGGCTGTCCGCAGGTGGGGGAGCGGGGCGTCCGGGCGGGCGACGCGGCCCGGCGATGGCGCTGGGGAACTCGCTGAAGATCGGCGGCTCCGCGGGCACCTTGACGTCGTGCTGCTGGCGGCGGTCGCGGTAGTTCAGGTAGTTCAGCTCCACGCGGATCGCCTTCTCTGGCTCCTCGATGGGCGCCGACGGCCGTACTTCCGACTAGGGCAAACTGTGCCGGCACGCGGCCAGCGCTGTGCAGGGCGGGGCTGAGCGCGGGGCGATCACCTCCTGTTGCTGGCTACGCTGCTGCCGGTACGAGCGGTCTGCTGGCTCACGTTAAGCCGAGCGTCGATCCACAGCTCCAGATCCTTTTCCTCTACGCAGCCTTCCAGCCGCTCTGCCCCAAGCCTGCAGCGATGCCTGCGGTTGTTGTGACCAAAGTGCGGGACCCGGCATGTGGTGTTGTTGAACCTCGTGCCGTTGGCATCAGCCATCGATCAGCTTGTCCAGATCCCAGGGCAATGGCAGGCAGGGAAGGGAGCATCCTGCTGTGCCACCGTCAGCCTGGGCACCATGTGCTGTGGGTGCCTCAAAACTCCTCCATCCATCTGCACAGGAGCTGCACAGGAGCAGCAGTTCTGGCTGTATCAGCAGGAACTCAGTGCAGCCCTGCAGAGAGTGGTATGGCAACACAAGAAGAAGATGACAGCCGTGGAGCGTGAGTGCCTCAGCAGTGTCTGCAGCCTGTGAGGAGGTGAGCTGGGCTGGGGAGAGGAATGTGTGGGAGTCCTGGGGAGGGACGTGCAATGGCAGCATCAGTGGCAGGATCAACTGCTTCCTCCTCCACTCCTGACACTGTGCATTGGTTCCTTTGAGAAGCACCCCAGAAGCCAGACCCTGTTGTCACATCTGTAGAGTTCCACAGAATGCACAGATGTGGAGATGCTGTGTGTTGGGTTGCTGTTTATTGCAGAGCAGCAGCACAGGGCAGGACTGGGGACTGGGAAGATGGGGATGGTGGGGGGAGTGTGTGGCTGTGGGCTCCTCAAGTGGTACCAGGAAACATCTCCACGTGTTTGTAGCTGTGTGGAGCTGTGCATGTCTCCTGCTGTAACAGAGATGGAGGGGATGGCGCTGACTGAGGGGCAGTGACCGGCGACAGCACGAAGGCGCCGTGAGGTGGCCGCAGTCAGTCCGGCCGCAGCGCAGACAGACGGCGCTGCGGCTCCCCGTCGCACGCGAGGCGGCTTTCGTTCCCCCCGGTAGGGGGCGCTGTGCTGCCGATAGGGGGGCGCTCTTCCCTCCGGTAGGGCGTGCTCTGATGACGTCACTCAGGCGCCCGGCATGGGTGCGCTTTCTGGCGCCGCGTTCCGCTCCCAGCACGGCGTCCCGGTCCGGCCGTGCTGCAGTTTCGCACTGCGGAGGCGTTTGCCCTGAATGCGGCGCGTCCGTGCCTTCTGTGTGTTTGGTTTTCTTTCTACCGGCCTTTTTGCGCTCGGGACGCTTCTGCCTCCCTCCCTCCTTTTTACTGACCTTTCTTTTGTGCTGCGATCTGCTTGTTTAATAGCCCTGCTTATGCCTACAAAGTGACTAGATGGTGAAACTGCATCAGAAAAATATCTATCAGATGTAAAGCTGCTACTGAGTGCCCAAAGCAAATATTAAGACAAGGTAGTTGGCCCTACATTTCTGCCAAGGACTTGAGCAGAAACTAGTTATTTTTCTGATGCGTGGGTTGTAGTTTGTCTGCTGAGATCTGCAGTTCCTTGAAAGAGAACAATTGCAGCGCTGAGGAGCACCTGTGTGGCAATGCCACGCTGAGCTTGCTTGCCTGGGCAGCACAGTGCCGTGATGTTCCAGATGTGTAAGAGTCACAGGCAGGGCAAGCACAGGCACTGCTGCTCTTGCACAAGTGCAGGGCTCACTGACAGCAGCATGAGGGCAACGGTCTGCTTCTCCTTGTAGCATGAGGGCAACGGTCTGCTTCTCCTTGTAACCTCAGCCAGGCTGTCACTAGGGATAGAAAGGGCATTTCTTGCCCACTGGTGCCTTTATCTGCTTGTGCACCGTGTACCTCTCTCATGCGGAGCTGCTGTCAGCAAGGCAGCCCCCGGGGTTGGCTCAGTGCAAAGCAGACTGGCAGTGCACGTTTGTGGGCATTCTGTAGTGCTATTAGAATGTTGCTTTCAGACTGGGAAATCATGTACTTATCATGCTTTTCAGTCTCAATCACTTAACCAGCAATCCATTACCGAATGTCAACCATTTTCATAATTCAGCTTGTCACTGTCTGGTTTTGTTTTCCTAGTGGGGACAAGGAGACAATGGGACTCTTGGCTCAGCTAAAAGCAAAGAATCACTTACCCCTCTGCACACTGTTGATGGTAAGGCAAAATGCGGGTTTAAGCCAAGGCAGTGTAACATTACTGGTTGCAGATGAGCAGCAGAGCAGTTGCCTGTTACCCACACAGTAATAGCAAGACTTGTTAATGAAGCAGCTTACCCATTCCTGTTGGGCAGTGCTAACAGAGCAACACTTTTCAGATCTTAGTTTTTCTTCTAAGGATTCTGTATATCTGACATTACTTGTCTTGCGTGCCTTACCATCCCCCCCCCCCTTTCTTTTCTAAGGTGAAAAAGGCAGCCTTGGAAGGAAAATGATTCCTCATAAAGACTCAGAACCACAGAATTCTTCAACTAGTTTTGCTTTTGCAAGCAGCTTAGTTTCAGGCTAAATTAAACCTGATAACAGCATTAAAAAGAGTTTGAGCACACATAATTAGCAGCTATTCCTAACTCCGTTCTTTTTACATTTCGAGCTCACCAGGTGAGCGTCTTGCATGCTGCTTGAAGCCAACTTGAAAAACAACACAAAGCCATTGTGTCCATGGACAGTGAAAGTTTGACACTCACCCCGGTGTATTGCTCTTTCCTAGGTGAATCTAAGCAGTTTTGATCCGGAAAACCGAGGCCCAGCAATGATGCACTGTGTGCTAACTTCAGTGCTCTTAGGAAGCATGAATTGCTGCAGTTCTGATGACAGCCTTCCACAAGACAACAGCAATGGGGATAAGGAAGAAGGCACTGGAATGGGCTGCCCAGGGAGGTGGAGTCACCAACCCTAGAGGTTTTCAAGGAACATTTGGATTTTGTATTGAGGAATATGGTTTAGTGAGAACTATTGGTGATAGGTGGACTGGATGATCTTGTAGGTCTTTTCCAACCTTGGTGTTTCTGTGAAGGAACTCATCCATGTTCCTGCCCTCATTTCTCCTGGTTCTGCTGATGATGTTGACCTGAGTCCGCCAGACATCACAGTTGTTAGCCTGGATTATGACCCAGTGTCTTTCCAGTGCAGCCCATCTCAAGCAGAGTCTAAGTGCCTGGACAGCAGCACCTCCATGAGGAGCAGGTCAGCATTGCTGAGGAGAAGCTGAACTTTCTGGAGGAAAACTTAGATTCAGATGGCTAGTCCCAGGCACCAAAAGCTCTGAACCAGTCTTTCCATTCTCAGGGGAATCCCTTCTTTACTCTGGACCTCTCTTGCTCTTCTGTCTTTTAATGAGTAAAGGCACATTAATACTCAATCAACACCTTGACTCTGTTCTGGGTCATTCACGGGGACTGGGATCAATAAAAAAAACTGCAAGGCACTTCAACTTGCAGTGAAATGGCTTTCGGCTATGTGCAGCAGAGCTCTGGGTTTGTTCCCATGTTGTATGGCTTTGGGGTGTCTGCAGGGAGAGACCTACTATTTTGTATGGTAGCAAATAGCATCCTGGCTGCTGCTCATTGAAATCCCAAGCTTCCTGGCTGCAGCTTTGTCATCCTTTTCAGTGTTTTTTGATGTTCTTTGATGCCTTAGCTGTTCCCTAACACCTCTGTGCTCCTGCAGTGTCCATGCCTGGCTCCCATGCATGAGCTGGACTTGCAGATCATCTCTAGTCCTGTCATCATCACAGTGCAGCAGTAAGAGTTCATCCTGACCAACATCAGCCAGTACTACTTGGTCTGCAGGTTACTGTCTACTTCTTCATCTCTTCAGCTACGGTAGCATCTCAGGGAAGTCAGATGCAGTCATGCTGTCTGAATTCTGTGCTTGATTAAATCCAAAGCAAATCTTTACACTACAATGAGCAAAACATACTGTCTACCAAATAGGCACGGTTTGTGCCCCAGAATTTCAGGTAGGAGAAAGGCTGGTATCAGCCCAGGGCAGGATCTGGGTCTCCTGGGGACAGCAGCCACAGCCCCTGTCCAATCTGCACAGTGAACCTGGGCCATCCATAGGGCACCTTGTGATCCTCCCCTCCTCTGCACAGCCCCACAAAGCACAAGGGAAGGTCTGGGGAGTGGCAATGCCTGGGTGCCCCTGGAACAAACAGGCCAGGAATGGTGCCCTTCATCACATCCATCCCAAGGCCCTGATGCCCAGTCCTCAGGGCTCTGGGATCCCTCAGTGTCTGTGTTCCAAGGCCTCACCACCATTACTATAGAATCATAGAATGGTTCTTATCATAGAAAACTTCTTCCTTATGAAGAATCTAAAGAGCCTGTTCCCTCCTTTGTTACAGCGCCGTTGAGAAGGCAAATCTCAGGCCTTCTTGGAGCCTTCTCTTCTCTAGGCTGCACAGCCTTAGCTCTCGTAGCCTGTCCTTGTAGGGTGGTATTCCATCCCTGGGACCATTTTTGTTTAATTTTGTTGGTTCATTAGTAGCAGACATTTTATATAAAATGTCCGAAAAGCTGGTGATGTTTCCTTTTGCAATTCTGGCATGCATGTTTAAGATTCAGTGCATAATTTAAATTGTGTGACACGCTTTGAACTTAAGTGCACTGTAATTGTAATGCATTGATTGCTTTCCTTTTATCAAGTTGAAGGGGCAACATTATATCCTTTTCTCTGCTTGATGTAAGTGGTAACAATATACAATTTTCTAACTTCTGAATCTATTGACAGAGCAAAAGCTAGTAAGGATATATTTGAGGTTTTCCTTATCTTTAACCTTATACAAATCTCTAAATCTATACAAAATCTAGTGATTTTGTATAAAAGTGTATAAAGATGAATTTACGTTGAGTTTTTTTCTTGGAGAACTTTACTTCCCAAACAAGCAGATGCTGAAGACATCTGCTAAAGTGCTTTACTCTTGCTGTTCTAGTTCGGATATGGAGTTGCTGGTCCTGCTTTTTTAGGCATCCTCTGGGGATCATTTCCCTTGAGATATTTAATTCTCTCATTTGATCTATTAACTTTACGAAGACAGACCAAACTTCTTCAGGCACACTTGCTTTTCAAGAAAAATAAGTGAATCAAATATGCAATACTGAAAATGTCTATATACAAAATGCAGAGTAAAGGACATTAAAAACATAAAATCAATTCTAAATCATGCTTAACTTTTACTTAGTATTCAAACAAGATAACAATTGGTTCAACCTCCTGTAGCTAAGATTGAAGTGTGCCTAATGAGCTTTAAAATGAACTTCTGTTACTCCATCTATCCTACGTTATTCTCCTAAGTGGCTCTGAAACCAACTCTGGGAGATGGCAACTTAACTGATCCTATGAATGGCAGACATCTGTGAGTTTATTTGTATTCCTTTCTAACCGTGCCTGAGCTGTCACAACTTGCAGTGTACAACAGGAGGTATCTAAAATAACTTCTGCTTTAACTTAATGTCTCTAGCTATAAATCCTTCAGTTCTGCACAATTCCGGCTCTGCAGAGAGATAAGCTTCAACAATTAGGGTAAGGTGGAAACTTCCAAGAAAGGGAGAGCAGGGCAGAAACTGGAAGGCAAGAGCCTTGGTATTTTCGTGAAAAAGAGCCTTTTGTGTTCAGTGTACTCCCCTGCAGTGCTCAAGCTCCCCTATCAGTAGTGCTACAAATTTAGTCTTTTCAGTTTCCTTCACCACCTGGTAGACTGCAGCTAACCTCAGATTCTGTTGCTCTTTCTGACCTGTGTCAACTACTGCTTTCTTCTGTTTCTTTGAAAAATCACTCTTGAAATCATCTCTGTCACGTTTTCAGAATACATTGTGGCATTGCACTGTATCCAAGAATCTATGAAATAGAACATAAGGGGCTGCTGTATTATGATGCACTTTGCCATAACCGAGGCAAATACTGACTAGTTTTGGAAGCTTTAAAAATGTTGTAACCTATAATCTTTGTCTGAAATCAAAGTTAAAGCAACTGCATTTTTAAAACTGTTTTTTATTATTTAAATTATTTTATTTATCTTTATTTGTGCTAAATTTATTTTGTTTTTTAGTTACATATTTATTTGTATGCTTATTTTTATTTTCACCTTAATACTCAAGAATAATACATTGGAAGCAAAGGATAACAAGAAATAAATCCTCCCAGTACAGCATCAGCCCGGTTTCAGCCATAACTGATCTTTAGTCTAACTTCTGTTATATAAGAATTCTAGAGAGCAAGGTTAATACATGTACTTGCAAATGTTAGTTTCAATAGATTAATCTGTGTAACTATAATATATACAACCACTCAGAGGATTGTAAGATGATGGAAAAAAAAAAGATAGAAAGATGCATTAGAAAATGAAGTTATGAGTTTACTAGATTATTACTTTCCTTTTTGCTTTCTCAGTTTTCTTATTGACAAATTATGAAAGAAGAATAACTAAGACTACAAGAACTTAATAACACTACATAGCTCTTCCTAATGGAATATCAGAATCTTGGAATGCAGGAATAAAATAAAAAGAAGTGTAATAGCATCCATTGTTAAAGCACTCTCATAATACAGCTTCTACTAACTTTTGTCACTAAGAGTGACAAAAGACTGATATTTTGTCTTGCCATTTAAGTTTTTTTGCACTCTCTGAAAGATTAAAAAATTGCACATACAGGATTCAGTCCATGAAAAAAATCACAGAATCACAAGGTTGGAAACGACCTGCAAGATCATCTAGTCCAACCACCCTCCAATTCCTATCAGTGCCACAAGCTACTAAACCGTCTCTCATAGCTCCTCGTCCAGGCGCCTATTGAACACTGCCAGGGACGGCGACTCCACCACCTCCCTGGGCAGCCATTCCAGTGCCTGACCACCCTC